TGTCAAAATGACATGACATGACAAACTTTGGCAATCTTGCTTCCTTAATTTTGGCAGCAACTTATGGTCTCTTTCCCACATTAGGGTTTTTATCCAAAATATTTAGCCCTAAGTTTAATGGCGTGAAAATATGTAGCCTAAAGCGTGACGTAAGTGTAGGGATTTTTATTAAAAAAAGAATAATTCTAAAATATGCTGTAATTGCTGACATCTTAAGCAACAAAGAAGTGTGTGTTTATGCTTTATTATAATAGTATAGATTCAGGTAGCCTCTTGCTTGTTTCCCATTCTTTACAAAAATAATACAGATTTTACGTATTAAAGTATCAATAATTTGAGTATGAAAATCATTTTACCTTCTTATATTTCTTTTATTTATAATGAGCTCTTGTTCAATGAGAAAAATAGGTTGGAAAAACGTTTTCATATTTTTGTTTCCATTCATCCAAAGATATTTTATATAGTTTATATAAAGTAACCGATTCTACGAAATAGCTAATTGGTTGTTCGATTTAATAAAAATTGTAACAATGAAAATATTCCTCCAAATAAGATTTATGAACATTAACGTAACATTAGGCTTACATGACGATTTTTTCCAGTCTATTCACCTCTTAAATTAAATAGCGTAATTTAATAGATGAGTGTAGGGTTTTTAAAAAAATAATTATTTCAAAAATATTCTGTGAAGATGCTAATTTAGTTTGTTTATGCTTTATTATATAAATCCTTTCTATTTTCACCCTTTCTCTTTGTATTCACAGTTAGTAGTAAAACATGCTCGGATACAAGAGTCAAAGGTTTGTCGTAACAAAATAAAGTACATAAGAGGCGAACAAAATATGCGGGGACATAAATTTAAGTTGAACTTGGCGTTTTTACGTAGGCACGTACAGAGAAAACTTTTCGTTTGGGTTATAAACTGGTTTACACCCTGTTTCGTTTACGTTCTCTTCGTGTACAAAAAAATAAACAGAACACAAAAAATAATTAACAACATGTTTTAGTTTATTTCTTGTTTAGTGCTTAAAGTAATTGGATTGTTTTAAATGTAGTATTTTTAAATTACAGAATAAATACATTTTTTCATAGCTAACTTCAATATTTTTATCAACTGCTGTTACTGACGTGCGAAGGACGCAAAGGCATTTGCAGAATATCAGCGTTTACTACCCCCAGGGGTAGTAAACTCATAGCTGAGCAAAGGCCCTATCTGTTCTGCATTGCAACACTTACAGAGTTTTCAGCCCTCATTTCGTTTACTTATTTATTATTTTTTTTTGACGTCATATACTTGTTTTTTGCATGTTTTTACTTTTAGTTATAATTGGTATAATTTTAATTTTAAATTTGTTATTTTCTGTGTGTTGTGAATTTTGTAAGTGCTGTAGTGTTCTGAATAGATTAAATGATTATTATTATTATTAATAATATGTTTTATTTAAGTTATTTTAAAAAATACTCAGAATTTATACACATAATGTAAATAAATGAAGAATTTTACAACTTAAAGTTAAAAAACTTTAAGTTTGAATATAACTCTGAAAACTATTCAGCAGGTTTTGGTAAGAAAGTTTCACAAAAATAAAATATAACAATAGTGAAACTTACTTAACCGAACTTAGCGCAACGAGCTTATTTTATTCTTCAACTTTAATTCCAATATCTAAAATGTAACCTAAGCAAAGTTGAATGCACTTTTATTTGGTTTAACTTTGCCAACCAGCTTCCTGTTGCACTAAGTAAAGTTTTATGTTCCGCCTAATTTTGTTTTAAATCCTACAACAAAAGTCTTAGCCGCAAGTAGCCAAATAAAGACCACTGCCCACAAGGTATAATAAACTATGTTTAGTTTACAGGAAACCTAGCCCTACTAAATTTCCTAAAGAAAAGACACATATTTAAATAAAATTAAATTTAAAATGTTCTATGATGATGTAAGTTTTCAAATAAAATACTTTGCAGTAGATATAACAATTAGCTTCTCATTTATTGTTTCCGCTTTAACAAACAACCATTCCATCCATTACCATTGTTTTAGAAATTCTTTTAAAACAAACACTCAGTAGGTCAATTACTTAGGTATTGGGAATTACTACTTTCACCATAAAAAATATTTCTATTTTTCTAAATTATGTTACTTCGCTAAATCGTACTTTAACATCTTAAATGTACTTCTACCAGTAGGTACATATAAAAGCAATTACGGTTCAGTTAATTTTTTTAAAATTGTAGCTTCTTTAAACATACTAAATGCTAAGTTTTAAAAAATATATAAAAAATGAACTAAAGCGTATTTTACGTCTATCATTTACTGTCGTCTACTGCAACATTCATTTGCAATATTAGTGGGACAAAAGAAGACTTGTAGTTATAAAGATTATCATTACCTTCTTCGAAATTAGCTAACAGAATCCTGCAATCTAAAGTTCTAACAAACCGCATTGCAGTTTGCAATTAAAATTCAATCTTGAATACTCCATGGTCTGTGTAAATCATCTTGCGAATGTAAACAAGTTATGCATCGTTACACTGTACCGGAATAATTTTCCCCTTGCCCAGGTCCATTGTTTTTGTGATCATTACGGTGTTTTCTTTTTACATCTTGTTTCATTACTGTATTTTACTCAATGAATGAATGTTTTTAAATGAGTTCACACTACTGAATCAGTCACAATTTTTTAATTTCAGTTTTGTAATTAAATTTATTTGTTTGAATTAAAAAACTACTAAACCTATCGAATATTTTGTTGTATTACATTTTCAATGAGACATACAGACTATATCTATTACTTGTTAATGTCTTGTAAAGCAAATTGGCAATAAAATGTAGTTTTATTACTCAACACTAGATGGCGCTGTACCGTTTAAGTGCCCACTATAGG